TTGATTAAATGTACAATTACTATTTCGTAGTGATAATGTCACTTTTTTAGTAAATTGTAAATTATGTTTCTTCACGCGGCAATAGTAGTGCGAGTTGTGTTGAGTTGATGAGAGGCTGGTAGTGTTATTGAGTCAGTGTGTCGGCACGCGTGGTGTCTGCTGGCGTCTCTCGAAACTCAGTGTCTGACTGACTTGAATTAAGTCAAGCGATTCTTTTTTTTTTTTTTTTTTTATAGATTTTTGGATTTTCAAATAGGCTCCAGACAGCTGCACGGGAAAAAAAGGATTTGTCTCAACTTGCTACATTTTTGCGTCCTTTTAACCAATGGGATGTTGAGTTTGGAAAAATGAAGTGATGATTGGTTAAAGGTTAATTTAGGGAAGAGTGCATCTTCCCGTAATGGGGGTGGCAGGCAAGTATGGAGGATTCCATAAGTCTGCATTAAAAAAATATAATTAAATGACAATATTGCTTCCAATAGCAAGGCCAGGCATAAAATAAGGGAATTTATTAATTTATTGTCTCTGGGTCCGTGCACGAGTGGCTAGAACGTTAGCGTTTCGACCATGAGATCTGGGTTCGATTTTCACGATGGTCGATGTGTCGAAGAGGCGATATTTTGGTAATATCTGCCTGTGGAATTCAGCTCAGCATGCGGCACCTTTGGGACGTGCCTGAAAAACCATACAACGGGTTGACCAAAGCCTTGTGAGCGAAAGTGGGTAAACGAAGCTGGACGGTGCTGGGAAAAAGTCACAAGTCATCATGACCGAGCTTCTTCGAGCTACTGATCAAGCCAGGTTATTTGAGATCCACTCAACATAGTTGCAGTGGCTTGACCCAAGAGTTGTGTGTTCAATACCTGGCCACAGCGGAGGGGAACAAAAATTCGAAGAGTTGAGTTACTAAAGGGAAATAACTGAAACTGAGACATCCAGAAAAGGCATGTCACGTGGAACTAGAACAATCTACTATTAGAGAACTAAATAAGGGGTTCGTTTCGAAATTCCAACGTATATCACCTGAAGGAGGCCGTAGCGTACAACGGTCGAAACGTCGTGAATATGACAATAAAGACGAGGAAAACAGTTCAAATAATGTAACTTGTGTAAAAAAAATAACTCTATTATGTAACTCGTACTTGTCTTATTTCCTGACCATTGACAATCCCTTATAGTAAAATAATTTTCAGGGAGTGTCCAGTTTTTATAGCTGTTTAATAGCGTCATCTAACGGCGTCAGGGCTATGTCAAACTATCTTATATATCCAAACTATCTTATATATTTACTATGAGATTCTCATCATTATATATTGACTAAATATGCTTCCGGAAATCCAGCTGAGCTCTCTAGGGAAAGAAGCGGCTCAAGCTGACATTAAGCATTACTCTTCAAGTATGAATTGAATTCTCCGAGCCGCTGGCGTATTTCGTACAGAGAAAAACGTTAAAAATTCACATTCTTTTTGTCGTAAATTGAAATAACCCTGGTCGCATATTAATCATAGAGAGAGACTCGGAGATCATGGCATTTTAAATATAAGAAATCCTCACAGTATTTAGTATGGTTTATATTTATAGTGCTACTAACGTGCTTTATATTTTACCAGTATTAAGTATATAAAAAAATTAAAGAAAAGATATGCAAAAAGCAATATTGCATTTTTAATAAGTATTTGTTATTTTAATTTTAAATTGTTTTTAAAAGAGTGGGAGTATTTTGTATGTTAAATAATAAAACTTATAATTTTACAAAAAAAATAAAAAATAATGAAAATTTATTGTCCTAAGCTACGCACCCACACCCTAGTAAAACCAACGGTACTTTGTACCCATTTACCTGTTTTCACTTCTCCCTAAAATTTGTTTTCGATCAGCCAATGTATGATTATATTAGAGGGTATTACGGACGGACAGACTAACGAAACTCGACAGAATTTTATATATAGATATTTTAGCCCTGTAATTTGTTTATAGTTTTCGCAAACGCAGGGCGAACTGGAAAATGGATTCTTACAGATATATAAGAGCTTAAAGAAAAAATATGAAAAAAAAACAATATTGCATTTTTATTAAATAAGTATTTGTTATTTTAATTATTAAATTGTTTTTAAAATAGTAGGAGTATTTTATATGTTAAATAATATAACTTTTAATTTTACCAAAGAAAATTAATGAAAATTTATTGTCTTAAGCTATGCACCCTAGTAAAACCAACGGTACTTTGTAAACCCCTTACCTGTTTGCTCTTCTCCGCAAAATTTCGTTTCGATTGGTCAATGTGTGGCTATTTTAGAGGGTGTGACAGACGGACTGAATAACAGAAGTCACCGAATTTCATATATATATATATATATATATATATATATATATATATATATAGTTGGAATTATGTGAGTTTGTGACCCTGGGTTTCACGCTATTTGCGATCGTCAGGCAAACAAAAGAGTTTGCCTGACGATCGTAAATATGACAGATGGTGGGAAGAAGAGATGGATTTATACCTTTCCCAAGGATATTTGCAAGTTTATATTTTATATGTTTATATTTCAGATTCAAAACAGCGAGTGAGTGCACTTTAAACGCAAAATATAATCTTATACATATATTTCAATTAGTCTATCAATGAGTTTCATGGGAAGTTTATTGTGTTAGTTTAAGTTGTATCTCTTGCTCATATAGTTTGAATTGGGTGTATTTGGGCAAAAGTTTTAAGTGGAAGTTTTTCCGCGACGTACTGACATATGCTGAAATCCTCACAATATTCAGTATTGTTGAATTTATCGCTAATATTTTTGACGAGATTTACAAACTCTACGTTTCGTTTGGAAAATACTTAGACAAAAATCCTACTTCACGGTTTTTACGATCCTTAGTAAAACCAATTGTACTTTGTACCCACTACCTGTTTGAACTTCTCCCCAAAATTTGGTTTCGATCAGTCAGTGTTTGGTTATTTTAGAGGGTGTGACGGACAGACGGACTAACGGAAGTTACCGAACTTTATAAATATATATATATATAAAGTTACCGAACTTTATAAATATATATATATATATATATATATATATATATATATATATATATATATATATATATTAAAAAATTCATGTGAAAAAGATAAAAAAAAAAAAAAAAATGAAAACTACAGACAAAAAGTTCATTTTCTCCAACAAAAGACATTCATTTCTGTAGTTCACTGCCAACAGCAAGCAGAAATATTTCTCCTCCCGATGATGGCCATTTCGGTCGAAACTAGTCGAGGAATCTAAATGGAATAATAATAAAAAAAACGAAAGAATATTAATCTACAACCCAGTGTGTCTAATGATTTTAATGTTTTAATTTTTTATTTTTCAAAATCATTGTTCAAATATATATATATATATATATATATATATATATATATATATATATATAGATAGATAGATAGATAGATATGAATAGACTGGGATAGATAGATATGAATAGACTGAGATAGATAGATAGATAGATAGATAGATAGATAGATAGATAGATATGAATAGACTGAGATAGATAGATAGATAGATATGAATAGACTGAGATAGGTACATAGATAGATATGAATAGACTGAGATAGATAGATAGATAGATAGATAGATAGATAACAGTTTTAGTTTATCAGTAAGGCTTATCTAAATGACTGACTATTGACATCCACTTACGTAATGATCTACAAATCATTTCTATAGGAAAATAATTTGCAATGCATTTCTATTAGCATAACATTTATATTATAAACAATAACAATGTTCTGTCAGTAATTTAGAATCGGTGAAATATTTATGAAAACTTTCTCTGCTAAAAATAAAGTAAAAGCCACACTTCACATTCTGATAATAATCAATGGCAGAATTTTTGTGTTCACCTCAATTTTTCCATTATACGAAAACAAGAATATTGATTTTGCGCAAAGATTTTATCTTGTAATGTCGATTTCATAGAAAGACCACATTAACTGTAGCAAAAAAAGGTACGTCTTTTTCGAGTGCCAATTGTACCCTGTCTTCCACTCCACTCCCACTCCCACTCCCACTCCAACTCTAACTCTAACTCTAACTCCCACTCCAACCCCCACTCCAACTCCACGTCAGATGTTTTCTCGCGCATGCTCATTTTATCGAGTAGCTGAGGCTCGGAAATTTGCATAAGTCACAAATTCGACACGCAAAATCTGAGCTCCGATATTCAGTTATTCTTAAATTGTAGCTTTTAGATCGGCCATATTTTCTTTCAGTAACCATCGACCTCCAGTGGTTCTGAATTTTTAAAGGAAAAAAGTTACAAAATATATATATGTATATATTGTAAAATTTTTATGACATGGGTGTTTTAGTGGGATCCCCCCTTTTGAATATGCAGCATTGTCGTGTATGACAGATTAATGGAGATGAATGAATTCTTTATTGTGGTTGAGTAAATTGTAATGGATGAATGTGTTATAGTGGAACACACCTATTCTATAGTTAATAGACTCTCCCACCTATAATAAGTAGTAGTAGTAGGAGTCGCTCAGTGGGTCGGTCAGTCAGTCGATGCTTGACGACCATTAGTCGGATACTAAAGTATCAGCGACCACAACTAGATTACTCTGCGTTATACCTATTATATCAAGTTCCTAACGTTTTGTATGTCGAACCTATTTTAGGACCGACTTAGTACAAATACAAGCCTCCTCTGTGAAATCACTCCATAACAAACTTAATCAGTAGCGAAACAGATTAGCTAGGTTTAGGATAGTCATGGACTACCAACTTCACCCCACTTTCGACGGTGTATATAATAATAATTGTATTTTTATGCAATAACTATATACCTTGAGTGGTTCTTATGCCTTATATTAGATGAACATTAGTATATTAAAAAAAGGGTGGTTTACCCCGGTATCTCTTTAAGAACAATGCGTGTTTGTCATGCCTTTCTTTCTCTGAGAGTTGCAATTTCGAGCTGTTATCCATTACACCACCCGCATATCCAAGCTTACAGCACTTGGCATTCCCAAGCGATCACCCATCTCAGTACTGATCTAGTTCTACAGTGCTTAACTTCAGGGATCGTATATACGGATATACTAATGCCTATAAAGAGAGAAATGTACACTAGAAATGTCATCTCTTTCCTAGTACACCCATTAGGTTAAACAACGATAGCTTTTTCTGCACTCAGTCTCAGTCCATGTCCATTGCTTCTTTGTAAAAATATACTGATGTTTACCTAATATAAGGACTAAGAACTACTCAAGGTAGATGGTTACTGTGTGATGTTGTATGAGCGTAAGAAAAGGCAAGATAACACTTAACCCTGGATTTGAAGAGGTCAAGATTGTAGTGATTGGGAAAATATCCCGCCGGGAGTCTGTTCCACAAAGCAGCAGTTGTTGTTATGAAGAAGCTGTCAGAGCGGAACTTACTTCTTACTATAGGAATACTAAAGGAAAAGATAATGGTTAACCCTAGACTTGAAGAGGTCAAGATTGTAGTGATTGGGAAAACATCCTGCCAGTAGTCTGTTCTACAAAGCAGTAGTTCTGGGAAAGAAGCTGTCCAAATGGAACATATTTCTTACTATAGGAATACAAAAAGAAAAGATAACCATACACCCTAGACTTGAAGAGGTTAAGGTTGTAGCGACTAGGAAAGCATCCTGTCAGGAGTCTGTTCCACAAAGCAGCAGTTCTTGGGAAGAAGCTGTCCGAATGGAACTTACTTTTTACTATAAGAATACGAAGGGAATGGGGATGATTCACTCTTTTGTATGCGGCATAGCGCTTCCACTTGTAAAAGGTCAGGCTTGCAAGGACAAAGAAATCTAACTGCACACATGGCATAAAAATAGTGATAGCGCAGCGAGCGGCTCGTGACGTTTCATCTATGGGAAAAGTGTTGTTGTGTGAAAAATAATTCATCACCCACAAGGCTGCGTCGACGCTTTCGACCTCTATCAAGACAGACAAGTAAAGACTGGGCAACTCTCGCCTAGATATGACAGTAATACTCCATTTTGGGTCGGATCTAGCTCTTGTAAACATAGAGTATAGCAGGCGGAGTCAGATTCTTACAATGAACCGAAGCAACCATTTTCCAGCATCTTTTGCCATAGATTGGATATATGAATCCCACTTGAGGTCTGGGAAGAGCTTGATTCCAAACAGATGTCCAAGGCAAGAAGCCTCCTTGGGAAAAGACCTATCCATCCTGCTAGGTCAAAGTTCAGGGTCGGCTCGCCAAAATTCTTGGGCTACTAATCACTGTGAGGTTAGGGTTTAATGATTAGTAAGCTTGTCTTCCGGATCATTACAGCTGAGTAGCGAGTTCGATCCCTTTCGGGTGCGTCATAAATGTGGCTTTGTGCCAAAACACAACTAACCTACCACCTTTACTTTATAGTAATAGTTATTAAGCTGGTTTTGCAGTTCATTACTAGTGAGTTCAATCCTCATTAGAAGTACTGTGTTTGTTTTTTACGCCTAAACTAAGCCAGCCATCGTAATGAGTGAATGGGCCGTGAATCGGATTAGCTAGATATAAGATAGTTAGTGTCAGCCAGCCTCAATCCCTCCATTTTTTGGCCTTGTGCCATAATTGTATTCTATATACAATAAATCTACTAAGCTCACCGTCGTCAATAACAGTTCTCAAAAGTGGCAGTGTTAACCTACAGTTAGCCTGTTCAACTATCGAATTCTCTGCCTCGAGCAGTAGAGGAACCCGAAGGGCAAAGTTTCGTCCGAGGAAGCAGACAGATCCCGAACCCGCTTATGCGTGTTCTAAGGGAATATTTTTTGCCGAGCCTACTGGCTCGGAGAAACCCACGTTAAACTCGGCCTTGTGCCACATACATTCCTCGTGGCGGGGGAAGACTGTTAAATATAGCAGTTCTCAAAAGTCAAACTGCGCATGCGCGTGAAAACGGAAGCAGACATGATTCGCAAAGCTTGTGGATGTAGCCGACATTTCAATTAGAACTCGACTGAGATTTAAAATACCGGTCCCTCAAGAAACTGAAATGTAATTAAGGTAACGAATATTTAAATTTAATTAAATGTAAGTTATAATTGCCACTCGAGAAAACTAGGACTTGATGCTTCATTAGCGTATTTTGTATATAACTTAAAAGACAAAGGGAAAAGATTTGCGTTTCCTACTTCAAAAGGACTTCTTCAGATTAAATATTTTTATTGCTGGAATCATATATAGGGAGTGGAAACGCAAATATCATAAATATCTTGGTTAGAACTAAATATACAAAGATACATTGATTATGCAAGAATGATTAACTTTTCATTTAAATTATTTTACGTCCTAGACGTCTCGACGTCCATCTTAGCTGACTTAATCCAACTTGTGACTGCTTTCGATTTTTTAACCTGAGGTCTGATATATGTAATTTATATGTAATATTTTTAAAAATATATTGTCCTAAATGCAAGAGAATTATATATACATTAGCCAAATTCCTGGGCGCACCCCGGGTGTGTATTGTAACCAAGTCGGACTAGGCGTTAGTTTTTCTAGTTGTTCAATAATGATACGATGAAAAATTACAAGCACAAAACAAAAGTAGAGTAATATAGCAACAATAACATTATATAAAAATCATATGAAGCCATATAAATAATTTCAACATTAATGATACAGAAAAGAATGGACGTTTACTTGTAACAAAGCGGGGGGTGTAAAAGACTAATAGCGCCAATTCTTGGCCACCAACTTTTTTTTTTTTTGTGGGAGTACTTAATCTCGTTTTATATCAAAATGAAATGCAATTCGTTTTTGCGTTAAGATATTTGAAAACGGGTTTAATACATAATAACTGCATACTGCCAAAAACTCTTGCAGTATGGCAATCAAATCTCGTTTGACTTCTTTTATACTTCAAACGTAAATCTTAAGACAGAATATTATGAAGATGTCCAATTCGATGCTTAAAATTAAAAAGGCCTTTCTGCAGAAACTCGCATCATCTTTTCCTGATTTCTGTTTATATTATCATCGATTAAATACTCCAGACGACAAATAAATCATTTTTTTGGTTTTGTCTAGGAATTCAGTTTGCTATGTAAATTCATTACGCGTTTATATATATCTTAAGAAAAGAGAATCCGCAAATGTTTTTGGTTCTAATGTGGAATTTTTATTTAATTTCTTTAAAATATTCATTTTCCATATTATTTGCTACGCGTGTTTCAGGTCTTGTGACTATCATCAGGCAAAGAATGGTTATATATAATATATACATATATATATTGTGTGTGCGTTTATTTATTTATAGAGAGAGAGAGAGAATAAATCTAAGGGCTTTTTTTATTTTTCATGTCGAGAAATGCCAACCTAGCGGAAAAAGTACTAAGAGTTTATTTTATGAATTTTAAGCATACACATTTTTTTTTCTTCCGCTTAATCTGATGACGCCTAGTAAGGGCGAAATACGTCTAGTTTCAATGAAACTGTTTTGCATTTTTCATATTCTACACACACACACGCGCATATATATATATATATATATATATATATATATATATATTTTGAATAAAATATAGATGGAATATGGATCTGAATCCGATAGGATAAAATAGGTACCTCCATATCGCTAAAAAGAGCATAGCATGATGAAAAAGACGCCGAATAAGACGAAAACAAAATTTTATTGTCTAAATATTTATATTATTATTAAGAGGAAAGTTTATTTTAATTATTTTTAAAACATTTTTCCTTCTTTGTAGAACTTTCTAAATTTTGATTAAAAAGAAACTTTGTATCACCGGATCTAGTAAAATAACATATACAATTTTTAGCACGTTTTTTTTTTTTTTTTTTTTTTTTGTGTGACACACATTAATTTGGAAAATCTTGTAAAATAAAAAATAATTGTCGGATGTTAATGAAACTTTCAGAAATTATTCACAGATGATCGAAATTATTATAAACGTTTTTTTTTTTTTTTTTTTTATTAAAGTCATGGCAGAAATATTTTTTAAATATTTATTACCCCACACCATTGCTAATTTTATGAAAACGCTAGAAATTCGATCGCGTCAGGTTTAGTGATTAAAGTAGTTAAAAGCACAAGGCTTTGAGGAATGCAAATCATTTTTTTTTTTCTGTTTTAATTGGAAGCCCCCCCCGCCTGAAAATCAACTTTGAATTGTAACATACAAAACTCAATAAAACAAAGATATTATTTAATTTCAAATGCTTTTATGAATATGGACAATGTTTTCTGAAAGCAAAAAAAAAAAAAAATTCGATGAAAAATGAATTTTTAATACAATTAAATGTTATTTTTTAATTATAATAGATTTTTACATTTAAGTTGTTAAAATATTATAAAATTAGTTAAAAGCCGCATCGGTTTTTCCTAAGTGTCCTTATGAGATAGATCTTTTTTAGCGCGTTGTAAAGTGTATCAAATTGTATTATTTTGACTAATAAGATCCGCAGTAATTAAGAAATGTAACTTTGTGTTTATAATCTGGCTGTAATTATAACGTACGGAAGATCAACCAGAATACAATTAAGTTGCGTTATTTGAATTAAGCATTGTTCTCCGCTGTTAAGGTAGGTACCTCCACGAAATCGCTAAAAAAAAGAGCATAGCTTGATGAAAAAGACGCCAACCTTGCCGAAAACAAAATTTTATTGTCTAAATGCTTATGTTATTATTAAGAGGAAAGACCAAAGTTTTTTTTTAATTATTTTTAAAAAATTTTCCTTCTTTTTAGAACATTCTAAATTTTGATTAAAAAAAACCTTTTTTTCTATTTGTATCAGCGGAACTAGTACATTAAGGCCTTTTACTTTTGCGAAACACGTGTGGAGAGGTTAATTTGATTTTTTAATTTCAACTGAGAAGTGTACATACAAGTATCAGTATATTTCTTATGAAATTTCTATGATCTTATTTTTATATTAATCTCAGTTATGACATTTTTCCATGAATGACATATCAAAATTAATAATGAATGGAAATACAAATAACACAGTAAATTGTATTAATTGTACATAAAATTATAGTATTTTATGTACACTTCTGATAAAATTTCAGATGAAAGGTACCTAT